CAGTTATAAGCCTTTTGTTATTGCATGCAGCATCGATGCTAGTGGTCATTAGATTTCACAAGGGTAACGATGCGGTAGATACCTTATTACAATCCACACCACGAACGGTATAGACGGCAGCAAAACTTCCATCGATGTTCGCTGCTTTCACGTCGATTTGCTTAGGGTTGTAGAGAACGTTATAGGTTTCCTCAAGGTCCTCCACCTGAACAGGTTGTCGCTTCTGCCTCAGAAATACTTTAGTAGGATAAGGTGCGACTACAAAACTGCTCCTGCCTGGCTTCCTACCGATAAGCGTTCTCATACGTTCACTTACCGTTGATCTGACTATCTCCAGATAAGAAGAATTCATGTCCGCATCGAAGTCGAAATAGGTTACCACGATAACTTGTGCTTGCTCATCCGAAGTTGCTGCCTGTCGAACAGAAGCCTGAACAGAGTACGGAACTCATTTGAAAATTATAATTCTACTTTTCGCTAAGTTTTATACCTTCCCCAAATAGCTGCCTTAGAGAGCTTTCGCCTTTTTCTGAGCAACTTACCCACGAAAAGGCGACGACGCCGACAAAAACAACCAGACGAAGCATGGGGGTTGGCTGTCTTGGTGAATTTTCGCCGCCCTTTTATTCGTTCCATGAGCGATCAAGTGCTATTAGACCTGTATAAAAATCCTTATTATATTTGCCAAGAAAATCATTAATATGTTTGCTGAAGTTGAGTTTCTGAGCGATCATGACTCTAGAACAACGAGGAAAGCATCTTACAGTTTTTTGAAGATTGCCATGTTTTCCCTGCCGTTCTTATTTACCAGGCATTGCCCTGACGGTAATGTGATCATTCAAACGGTTTCGCAGGCGATACATTCGGTCTTTGGTTTATTTTGCTGTCGTGAATGGAACCGTTGAAGCGACCTTTCAGGGAGGTAGCTTTCAAGAAACGTCTGCATGATTGCGAAATTAGGCATATAACGGCCGCATCACACTTCGGAACGAATAAACGGAGGGTGATGATGGGGTCACATCTATGCACCAAGCCACAGTGGTTCGCCTGTTTCTCCTTTTCAGCTTCGTCAAAAAGGCACATGAAAGAAAAGAAGCTATTCCTTACGAAGATTAATGAAGAGTTCTATTCTTTATTGTGAGGCAAAGTCAGAAGAGAAATCGACTACGAAGCTTCCCGCCTAGTCTACGGATGTCTAACTATAGAGAAGAACGCGAGGTTGATTAAACGATTAACTTCAATCCAGGAATAATTGTGGAATGACTCCCCAAGGGTGACTGCCAGTTCACGATTAGTTTGATACGGATCGACTCCCACCTGGCTCCGCAGCGCCTCCAAATCCAACCCCATTGAGCTTCCCGGACGGTCTTCATTTTTAATGGAATGGGCGCCCGACGAGAACTTCGTGTGCCACTTGTGGATTGTGCATCTAGCAGGAGCATCCTTCTTGTAAACTTCCTGACTACGTCTACCGATCCGCGAGTTTTTGGCCAGATAAAAAAAGAAATAGGATGTTTTGCGGCGGTGAAGTTGCGACGGCCTGAAATCATGGGACATGGTTGCAGGAAAGGAAAAAGTCAGGTGTGTTCGTTGGCATGTATTTTTAGAGCTTTTAATACTCTATCTAACAATGCCATGCGCGTCCATTTTTGTCTCCTCTTTCCCGAGTTATGATCTTCAGAAGTCATCACTATCATTTTGTCCGAGGACTTATGACTCAACCTAATAAAAGATGTAATTATGGCTTGAGCCAGGGTAAGAAACTAAGTTCCTTGACGAAATACCCTGTTGTATTCATTGATGAGGTTTTGGGAGAACTGATCGGTAGAGTCGACGTTTTATTCCTTTAGTTCTGTGTTCATCTGCAGCCATCTACATAGGTATCCGCCAAGCAACAGAACGGCCAATTAACGATGTAATTTCCGAAGATAATTATGCAGCTATAATGCAATCCGAAAGGGATCTAATACACGCCCAGATTTTTCACGCCCACTTAATCTCATATTGAAATGAGCACTCACTTATTACTTGCTCACTTCTTGAGAATGGGGACTCCAGGAAAGCGACCCTACTGCTGTGGGTGACTAACTGTTCTTTACTGAGCGCTTTCAGAGTGAAGCGCCATCGAATCCACGTTCCCCGCCGCCGCTGACGGTGTGGGAGACGGGCAGTAGGAACGGTTTTGTGTGATCGATTCGCCGCTCGCGGCTGTCGCGGACCATTTGTCTCGTTATAACAGTTCTAGCGTTCTTCATGCAGCTCAATCGATAGGCGTTTATTATTTTTGGCATGATTCTAATGTCAGTTCTTTTGTTCCTGTATTTCTTACTTGCTGCTGCATTCTGCTACATTCCTCTCTTGCCGTGACGCGATGATTTCGTTCCTACTGCACCACACCCGACGGTGTGTTAGAGCATGTTATTCTTCAAGCAAAGTGCGTGAAACTCTTACATAACGATATACTTCCGTCACGTTATAAGGTAGTTATCGAAGAAGAAAAATCGAATCCGTCAAAGAAAAAAAGTAAAAAAGTGTTTTATACAAACAATAACTGCACTACCGAGTTATCCCAGGGCACGCAGGTGATTGAAAGGAGAGAGAGGTTATCTTCTATTTCATAAAATCCTGCCTTAACTGGGCAAGCAACGAAGGGAGGAGCGAGCGAAGACGTGCGAGGATTCTGAGGGCTGTGATGCTAAAAGGACTCAGGCGTACTTTGCCATAAGCAACCAAATATCTAGAGGTGCTATAGATTCGATTATTGTACTACTGAACGAAACTATAGCTTAGATCAGGCAGTACGCTAGAAACAAGGTTCTCTTGTGTTGTGTTCTTCAAAGAAATCCGTGTCTGGTATATACCATCCGGGCATATTATCTTTTCGACCTGCAACTTTTCTATTGCTCAACGCACCTCATCTTCTGTCCAGTATGCGATGGGGTCAGCCGTCTCTTTACGTGGGAGCTGTCTTCAAGGTCAAACTCTTCGTTCATGAGCCTGTAAAAGTATTCTCATCTATGCCTGACCTCACCAAACTTGCTAGGATTGCTCCCCTTCCCTCTCCATTACCGCCCTTACTATTTTGATGTCTCGGAAAGACGAACTCCCCTCCTATTCACCCTTCTCGTGTGAGCATCTATTTTCTTTCGCTACGGCAAGCTCAGCAGGCCTTGTGCGAATTATCCAGGTAACTAGATCTTCCAGTCATTTGCAAGCGCTTGTAGGCCTGGACTTGATCGCTGCAGAATCACGCTTCCTTATACCTCCGCAATACACCTTGATTCTCCTCCATCTTTTCCCTGGCCCACCGCAAGACGACTTTCATGGATTGGTTTCAGATCTACTTTATCGCTCCTTCATGAATTAGAAGGACACTTTCCAGCATCTTCCATTTGGAGTAGTCTTTTTTCGGCTCTGTACAACTTCCACCGTCTTATTCTCCGCTTGGAAGCTCGTTGGCTATGTCTGCTAGGAGAGTTCTGTGCTCTGGTGTCAGATCTTCGACAGCCAGGACTTTGATGTTCTTGCAGTTTTGAGGGACGATCTTTGTAAGAACACATTAGAATATATTTATATGTAGGGCTTCCGAATTACGACCTGATTGATGAGAATGTGGTGAATCTCGGGGGAAGAACTTGGTGTCCTCCTACAGTCCTCGGTAAAGACTGTGGCTAAATATCATTACCTTTGCTGTTTAATTTTTCAGTCATCGGCTGCTCTCATAGTCCGCCGGCCGGCCGGCGAGCCGGCGTGCCGGCAGAGGCAGTGCTAGGGGGGAGGAGGGAGGCAGACAATGTAAGGCAAACAGTCCACGCCCCTTCGAAGGTTGTTTGTTTTCAACCCCTCGAAGGGGCGTGGACTGTTTGCCTGTCTGTCTGCCTCCCTCCTCCCCCTGGCACTGCCTCCGCCGGCACGCACGCCGGCACGCCGGCACATCGGCGTGGCGGACTATGAAAGAGCCATCGTCAGCCATGCATGAGATATCAAAGTTGACTTTTGCCGGAGATGTGATAGGCACCATCAGGAGCTAGCGGTTGCCCTTACTTGTCTGCGCTCTAGCGCTCAGTGTTGGAAAGAAACGGTGGTCTCGCTCTTCCAGCTACATTCCCACCTGTATTGCACACTATTGAGCACAACGATAGCATTCACTCCGTACACTTTTACGTGACGAATCTCGTCCAAGAACTGATTCCAATGTACATCGAAACAATACTCATCGTGGAATAAATGTGCATGTTTGTAGTTTATAGTATAGTGTGCACTCAAACAATACGATCAGGTTGCGATTATAGACAGCGATTATAGACAAGGATTTCACATGGACGGAGTAGAATGAAGCAGCGAATACATTCAGTTGTAGCACCGTTGAGAAACGTAAGGATAAGAATAAATCATTTGGCGTTAATCCCGTGTGAGGGGTGCGACCTGGCATTCGACTTTCATTCAGAATCGTAGTGGTGTAAATAGGGTGTATGTGGCCTATACACTGGCTTGTGGTGGCCAGCCGATATACAAGTCAGTGCTTTCGTCCTCCCAGACGAGCCTGGTACGAATTAACCGACCCCGAACGGATGGAACACTTGGTTGGCCTAGGCGGATACCAATCCGGGATTTGAATGAGAGAAGGAGAAATGTCGGTCTGCGAAAAAGTGCTAAAACTAGAGGTCGGGCGATATAGTGACGACAAACGTTGCATAGAACAGGTGCTCGGACGAGCTGCTCGAATGCATGTGTCATAGCAAGCAGATGGGTGCAGTGAGGTCGTTGCGCGCAGCATCTTGGTCTCGGCGCGAATGGTACAACCAATGAAGCTTTTGCAGCGCCGCCTTGGATGTGTGTTTCGGCTAGGCCGGTTCTGAAAGCCTATCCAGACCGTTTTTCGATTGGACAGCGTTGCTTTTGCTGTCCCTGGTGTCACAATTTCATATTAGAACAAAATTTATCGTAAGATAGGCTTTACGTTGCACGATATTTCGGCAGCGGTATAAAAGGGGCAAAGGAGCGGGGTTTTATTCTTTCGCAATCGCGTAAGGAGCTGGCTAGAGTAAGCAGAAAATGCCGTATATTGCTTTTATGTGCTCATTGCTAACAGTGCAGCCCTTGGAAGGTAATCGGAGAACACGGCCTTTTCTGGGTATAGCATACAATGAAAAAAGTGTTCTGAGCTCCTGTGATGCTGGACTGAGTCGTTTTTCGATTTTTATTTTTTGCTTTACGGACTGCACTGAATATAGCTCGAAGACGCTTTGGGTATTCTTTGACTGCAACACACAGATTTTTTCGAGATACTTCAGCTCGGGTTATCTTTAATGACTTCCCGGAAGCAGCAAGTCTCGCATTTTTGAAAGCGTTGTCTTTCCTCTCCAGTGTCGATCATAGCCACTAGTCGCTTTCATTGCGGCTATTATGTTTGATAGGATATGAAATATGAAGCGAATTTGTTGACTGCCACTATCGTAATCTGAATATTGAAGGCGCAGTCCACTATAAAAGAAAGTTCTAAATATTCGGATCGACAGGCGTCTGTTGATAGACAGTTTACGGATCGGCAGTACGAGAGCTGTTGCTATTAAAAACTGGGGTTTGC